TTATAAGGACCTTCTTAAATCCACTAATCGTAATCTGTCACGAGACATAGTTTTTTCAAAAAAAAAAATAATTCATATTTTTATAAAGGGTGGTTTTTCTATAAGACGCCAGGGGTTTAGGACATTCAGTTTTTTACTGTAAGGTAACCTTATAAGGACCTTCTTAAATCCACTAATCGTAATCTGTCACGAGACATAGTTTTTTCAAAAAAAAAATAATTCATATTTTTATAAAGGGTGGTTTTTCTATAAGACGCCAGGGGTTTAGGACATTCAGTTTTTTACTGTAAGGTGACCTTATAAGGACCTTTTTAAATCCACTAATCGTAATCTGTCACGAGACATAGTTTTTTAAAAAAAAAATAATTCATATTTTTATAAAGGGTGGTTTTTATATAAGACGCCAGGGGTTTAGGACATTTAGTTTTTTACTGTAAGGTGACCTTATAAGGACCTTCTTACATCCACTAATCGTAATCTGTCACGAGACATAGTTTTTAAAAAAAAAAAAATTCATATTTTTATAAAGGGTGGTTTTTCTATAAGACGCCAGGGGTTTAGGACATTCAGTTTTTTACTGTAAGGTGACCTTATAAGGACCTTCTTACATACACTAATCGTAATCTGTCACGAGACATAGTTTAAAAAAAAAAATTTATATTTTTATTAAGGGTGGTTTTTCTATAAGACGCCAGGGGTTTAGGACATTCAGTTTTTTACTGTAAGGTGACATTATAAGGACCTTCTTACATCCACTAATCGTAATCTGTCACGAGACATAGTTTTTTAGAAAAAAAAATAATTCATATTTTTATAATGGGTGGTTTTTCTATAAGACGCCAGGGGTTTAGGACATTCAGTTTTTTACTGTAAAGTGTCATTATATGGTTCTTCTTACATATACTAATCGTAATCTGTCACGAGACATAGTTTTTTCAAAAAAAAATAATTCATATTTTTATAAAGGGTGTTTTTTCTATAAGACGCCAGGGGGTCGATTCTCGACTTGTAGGAATTTTTTCCTATAGGAATTTTTGACATTTTTCTATACATAGAAAATTTATGACATTTCCCTACATATAGGAAAATGTCACAAATTCCTATAGGAAAAGGTTCCTACAAGTCGAGAATCGACCCCCAATGGTTTAAAATATTTAAATTTTTACTGCATGAGACCTTACGAAATAATTAATATATCTACTTGTCGTAATCTGTCACTTCTCTTGTTTTTTTAAGTAATCATCTTTTTATAAAGGGTGTTTTTTTGAGAAGACGCCAGTGGTTTTAGACATATAATTTTTTGACAAACTCAGATCTGAAAGGGTACCTTTTTTTCCATTATTCGCTGTCATACGGCAAATTTTGAAATATACCTCTTTCTTATAGAAACTTTACAAACCACACCGTTTAATCAAAAATTGAATCATAAACATTACTTTCCTATAAATTTAGAAACATTATAAATAAATGCAATAATTAATTTTAGTTGTGTGAACTTGGTTAGGAGGAGGGGGTAGAGCGCTGAGTTTGGGCGCCAGCGCCGGGCGCTAACTTCACACAAGTCTTATTTTTTTCATGTACCAGTAATTGACACACCAATTATTGACACAAATTAAGGAACATTTTTTATTATACTTTTAATTTTGAATACACTAAGTAAATAAAAATAAACAGCAAATTCATAACACAAAAAATAAAAACAAAAAATAAAAATTTATGGGTGCTTTAGGCTTCAAAAATATCAATATTTTTTGAAAATACATATTTTATTCTGTCGCCGACATTGTGTAGTTCCGGTTGGGATAACTTTTTTATGATATCCTCTATCTTGATTGTTGAAATATCACTATCAACAAGTTTGAAGGTATTCGTTTCATTTGTTGATTTAAGGGATATAACTTCAATATCGTTTCGGGAATATTTCTTCTGAACCACACAGATATACCTATAAAAAAAAGTTTTTCTCTTTCCTCCTAAGAATTTCTCTAAAATAAAATCTCCCACATGGATATCATCGTATTTGATTGGTATTTCGTTCTCTTCTTCATTTTCTAAATTGATACTGACATCAATACTGTCTCCACTTTCTATCCATTCTTCGTTTTCGGATGAATTGTCAGAACTTTCCCTCTTTACTGACTTAGCCTTGTTTTGTATTTTTATAATTTTTTCTTCCCGTTTTCGCTTTCTCTCTTCTGCCCGTTTTTGTTGTTCTTGTTTTCTCTTTTTCTCAGAATCCTTTTTTATGTGGTATTTTTGCCAAATTTCTGACGTAATAGCACAAGGAATTTGCTCTATATTCTTTTTTTTTGTGTTTTTTACTTCTTCCGGCCAAAACAAGGCTTTTTTTAAATGGAGTGGGAACTTGTTTCTTTAAAGATAATACATTGAACGGCGTTATATTTTCCAATGAATTTAAAGGAGATCTATCACTTTGTGATACAGTAGGAGGTGTAATATTGACATCAGAATGTATAACAATTTTTAATGGGGTCATATCAGAATCAACTCTTTGTTGTTGAAGGCCAGAAGGTCCTGGTCTTGAGTTGTCTAATATGTTTTCTACAAGATCATTTTCTTTCTTGTTGCAATTTTGGTTCTCACTTAAATTTATGTTTTCTAATGGTTCAACACCTAAAGCGGATTCTATTTTAATTTTTTTATTTTCATTGTGTTCCATACATTAAATAGTGACACGTCTTCCATATTACCTGTCCATGCTGTATCAAAATTTGTTCGAAAGTTTTTTAATGTTTCTGAGGAAATACATTTTTCCAAAACTGCCAACCCTTCTATTATTCTGGTTTGATTAACTTCTGTCGACGGGTTTGAAATTTTTGAAAATTTTACATTTTCTACATTAAACGGCGAAAGTTCACATGCCATAAATCCATGTTGAATTGTCTTATCTGTAACTTTGGATAACGCTTCCTCAAACACTTTTCCGAAATTTTCTTTTCGCAATAGTTTTCCGTGATTTTCGATGTGCCAATCTCTTACAGATTTTTTCCAAAATTGTTTTAGCGGCTTAAATACAGCCACATCCATAGGTTGAATTAAATCTGTAGAGTTTGGATACAATGCAAAAAGTTCTATTCCGTTTTTTGAACAAAACTTTGATAGGTGTAATGTCATGTGCGACACATGACCGTCAATAAACATAATAAGGTCACTCAATTTTTTTCTCATCTAGCCATGGTACAAACACATTTGTTATGTATTCAAAAAAAAATTCCTCCACACATCCATTTACTTTCGGAACGGCCTATACCCCAACTTTTATTGATACTGACAGCTACATGACTTGGAATGCCTTTATATTTAAACACTACCATGGGAGGAGCTAGTGTCCCAGCGGCATTAGCGGTGACTAATACTGTTAAATTTTCTTTCTCGTCGTTGGTTCCAGCATTGTACACGATTTTATCCCCTTTTCGTGCAAGGACTTTATCACCTTTTGGTTGAAAAAAAAAATTTTTTTTTTGACTGCAAGTATTCTTTCACTTCCCGAAACCATTGTCGCAATTGTTGTTCAGTAACTTTTTCGCGGGCTGGTGTTAAATTTTGTGCAACTCTTTCGCTTAAATTTGGATGCCTTTTCAAAAACGACTCGTACCATTTTCGACCTGGTCTCGAATCAGTGAAAGGGTTTGGTCGTTTACATTCTTTAACGATAAACTGGACACGGTCTAGTAATTGCTCTTTGCCTACTGGATGGTGTACTTTTGCTAGAGAAAGTATCCACTGTTCGACAAGAGTTTCTTAATTGCTTGTGAGGATGGTACTTGGTCCCATTCGGCAATGTATAGGTAGCTTTCCTGTTGATTTATAAAGTAACGTTGTTCGTGGAACAAAGTAAGTTTTAGCAGCTGTAGCTACTGGCATACCTCTTGCTATACCAGCAAGAGCTTCATCCAACTGAGCCTCTGTATAATTTTTTATAGGTGCCATAACTGTATTAAAAAACGTGTTCCAGTTATTGACACTTCTTGTACCAATAATTGATACCCCTGTCAATGACTGGAACCAAAAGGCTGTTAGATCTGATATTTAAATGGTATATTGCAGACTTTTTAGACAGTATAATGACAACATTGTATATCAGTATTTGCTTGTGGACCAGTGATTGACAGGGTATGTCAATAACTGGAACATACTGGTTTTGTTTGTTCCAATTGACACTTTAACAGAAATGAGGTTTTAGGATTTACATGCATAAAAACCAGTAAAAACCCATCAGTGTTGTTTAATACACCCCCAGGAATAGTTTAAATAAATTTAACATGAAGTGATAAGAAGTAGATATATTCAATTTGGTATACTGACCTTATGAAATGTCTTAACATGAACACTCTATCACTGCACGTGCTCTTTTCACCATTTTGTAACTGACCGTGGTGCCACCCAACATCTGTTACGTAGGCTACACGGTTGCCAAATATTCTAAAAATACCGATGTTTAAGATAAATTTCTCATATATAGGGTGTTTCCGAATTTGGCGTTCAAATTTGTAGGGGTGGTAGTTCGAGAGATTGGCAGATTTAATTTTTCTAAAAAAAATTATAATAAACTAAATAGAGCCATTATAAAAAAAATCAAAGAGCGGGTCCTACCCTGAGCGCGTAGCGCGATAGTCGCTTGATCAGTTACTCATCGGGATTTACAACTCAAAAACAGATGCGATTTGGAATTTTGTCGATTCTAAGCGTAGCGCGCGCGAGTCAAGGCGTGTGCAGGACCGTACCTGTTTAAAATTTTTAATTATTTTTATTTTAAATATTTTGGAAAAATAAAATTTGCGAATCGGTCTCAAATTATGCGAACTACCACCCCTACAAATTTGGACGCCAAGTTCGGAAACACCCTGTATAGTCTAATGTTCTTATTTTTGAAGAATAATTGAGCAAGTGTCAATTACTGGAACACTGTCAATTATTGGTGCACTTACCTTACTATTGTTCTATTTGCCGTAGATATATCATAATTAAACGTTTTTTAGGTAATATAAATCCACTATCGCCAGGAGCAATAGATTTTTTAACAGAAGTTCACATAGAACCAGTTGTGAATAAAACAGCAATAATTAGTTCCTCTACAAAAGAAATACCCAATACTATTTTTAATTTTAAAGGCTGGAATTTTTTAAATGAAAATGTTGATATTGCAGGTATTAAGCAGTTACAGGAGCATTTAAATTCTTCATCGGAATTGATTTTCAGGATAATTCCCTTAGAAAAATTACCAATTAAACAGTATAGTTTGCAGTCGATGCAATCTTATTCAATATTCTTATCAAGAAAGAATTTTTCTGACGATTTTTGTGAAAAGCATTTTTCAACAAGAATATTTTCCATAAGTCTTTTAACGAATGATGTATTTGCGAAAGACCTATATGTAAAATTAGAATTTTTTGAAGAAATTGAAGATTTTGATTTTGACTTGCGTCAAGAATTATATATTGGTGAAGAAATATTGAACTTTCTTGATTGTGAATTAGGATCAAGAGTTATTTTAAAATCAATCCAAAAATACCCAATTGTAAATGAAATACAAATTAATACTAATAAAAATTACTCAACCGATGTATTGGAAACGTTTAAATTTTACTTAGCAAGAGGAAGTGATCATAATTTTGTCTTAAATAGTGGTATACCCATAGATATTGGCAAGAATGTAATTTGTAGTCTAAAATTTCTTCCTGATGAACCGAGGTTTTGTGTGGTGGATGACAATCTTGTTAGAAATTGTAAATATGCAATAAATATTGAAAATGTTGTGAAAGAGAATATAAGAAAACAAAATAGTAAACACAATAATTTTCCTCAAAATATTTCAAATTATAAGGACCTTATTTGTGATGGGATAAATATTTTTTCTGCAGTTGATCGGATGGAGAACGTTTTGATTACTGGTAAGTTAAATTAATTTTAATTTATATTAACACACACAATTAAATAATAAAATGTCATATATGTTGTTTCGTTTGAAGTATGTGGTACATGTTATACAGGTTTATCGTCTTACTAACAAAATGGGACAAAAATTATTTTATAATAGCATTGGGGATATAAACAGTAATGTATTTAAAACAATTTAAGCCCTTCAATTTTTAAGTAGAAATATATACTTAACGATTTTTCAAAAAAGCCAAGATAAAGTTACTTGCTTTTTCTTCAAATAATAATCCCAATGTTACACATTGAGGGGCTAAAATTCAAAAAGAATTGAGGTATAATGGTGTCTGCATAAATTCTACCTCGATGCTGCATTAACCATTTTTTAAATCATAATATTCATTTATAAACATTAAGGAATTTTTTAAGTAAAAACTGAGAATGTACATTTTTTTTTTGAAAAATAGGAAAATTACAGTTAAGCTAATGGGAAATTTTGTAACTATTAAAAATAAAATTTGTAGAAAAACAAATGTTTTGCTAAACTGTTTATTACAGGCATTAAAATGAGAACAATAGACATAAATTTAAACTAACTTTTGATGGTTACTAACCAGATTAATAATATATCGGGATGGAAACGTAGCAGATCAATTACGCACTGATGGGACACCCTGTATATGTGTTATTGGCTAACATATTGGTATAGTTATATAGGCAAATTTATAAGGAATTTTATATTAAGATAATATAGATCCTTCTCTCAAAATAATAGAAATAATCTTAATAATCTTCTGCAAAATGAAACCTGGCATGACATGAGAAAAGCAACCAATGCAAATAAAAAAGCTGAAGGACTTCGTGATGCATTTATGAAACATTTTAATGCCTCAATTCCAAATATATCCCAACCTAAAACAAAATGTAATAAAAACTTGAGTTATATGAATACAGATGAAATAAAAAGACAAAAAGAACTAACCTCATTTTTTACAGGACGTCATTAAAAACAAACCAACCGACTACAATAAAAAATGATATAAACAAGAGAAAACTAAATACAATGTATTGCTAAAAAATGCAAAACAAAATAACTTACTTCAACAAATTAATAATTTAGACAATAAATCTAAAACAGTATGGCAAATAATAAATAATGAAACAGGACGTAATAATAAAAATAAAGTAGAATCTGAAATCGATATAGAAACCTTTAATAAACATTTTGTAAATCATTTATCTGATATAGTAGAAGGCATCCTCAATAACAATAAAAATAAAAATAAAATTGACTTAACTTGTTATAACCGAAAACATCAATCACTTTTCTTAGCTCCTTTTACTGAATCTGACACCGTAGATATAATACAAAACATTAAATCAAAAAGAACTCAAGATATATATGAAATTAATACCTATTTATTAAAGAACTGCGCCCAAAATAGTGTTGTTCCTATTACTGAAGTAATAAACTGTTGTTTAGCTGAAGGTACCGTTCCAGATATTTTTAAAACGTCTAAAGTTCTACCTTGCCACAAAAAAGGCGATGAGTCGGTACCTGAAAATTTTCTCCAAATGCATATTTAACCATGTTTTTTCTAAAATACTTGAAAGTGCTATAGTAAAACAAATTGTGCCTTTCTTTGGAAACTTCAACCTGTTTTCTGCGGAACAATATGGTTTTAGACATGGGAGAACAACTGATGCCATGCTAGCTTTAACCCTGCTACTGCACACTTATTTTTCAAGACACAAACTACACATTGGGGTCTCAATAACCCTATAAATAAAATGGAGTTTTTTCGAGTTTGTAATATTTTTTTTTATTGTTTTTACACATGGAATGGTTAAAGTGGTTATTTTTGAGAAAATATAACATATTTAAAAGTAATCTGAACAAATGTTTTTATTTTAAAAATATAAAATTAAAAAAAGGAAAAAAAGTTGCTTCAAAATGCATGATTTTTTAGAAATTCACAAAAAATAAAAACTAAAATTTTCGAATTCTAAGTATCAAAACGTTTTAACTAAATGTCATTCTTTTTTATTGTGCAATTGAAAAAATTATAATTGCTTAGGTTTTTCTTAGTCAGGCTGATAAATCAGTCTCACAGCTCCTACATACCATTGCCCTGTGTTCATTGCAAAACGATTTACGGCATATGCTACAATGCATATTTGTTTTTGTTTTTTTTCCTATCGCAAAAACTGCAACGAACTTTTCGTCGCAAATTTTCGTCATTTGGTGGAGGATCTGGCACAGGCTCATTCAAGATTTCCATTATCTTTTGACGCAGTGATCTTCTAAGCGTTGGCAACCGTAGTCGTTCTCTGAGAAATGGTATTACCAAGGACATTCCTAGCTCTTTAAGGAAATTCCTGCGTGTCCGATTTTTTTTCTGCCCAATCTCTCTTAGCAAAGGTAAGCAAAATCATCGAATTAATACCACTTCCATCAAGCATACCATAAAACACTCGCATAAACCATCTATTTGTTTTTCGTGCTGTGGTATATGAATGGCACAACTGATCGAAGGTGTCTGTACCACCTTTGGTTGCGTTGTATGTCTCAATTATAGTTGGTTTATTTGTCTCGTGATCAATGGAATCGTCATGGTGTAAAGTGGAAATTAGAAGCACGTTTTTATTTTTCTTAGGTGTGAAAGAAACCAGAGTTTTGTTATTATCGACAGCGAATAACGACGACCCTACTTCCTTTTTTGCCAAGAAACTAGGCGGAATTTCTCTTTTGTTTTTCCGCAAAGTTCCTACCATTGTTAACTTATATTGCTCAGCCAATGGAATCGAAGTGAACCAATTTATCAAAAGTTAGGTTGCGATTGGTATTGTATATGGGTTCGGACAATTTTCTAACATAATAGATTGGCACACTTTCATTATTTTCACAGTTCACTTTGCCCACATAAGGAATAGCATTCAACATGTAATAGGTCTTAGCATCATTTAGCATTAGTATTTTCAAGCCGTATTTATCGGGTTTGCTGGCCATATAGATGCGGAAGCTACAACGGCCACGAAAACTCATCAGTTGTTCGTCTATTGTGCAATATTCATAGAGTGTGTAGTATGCCTTGCAGTTGCTTATATATACATCCCATATTTTTCTAGACGTCGTATATGTCTATCAGCCTTGTTATCAAAGCGTAACTTAGTAGCTAAAAACTGAAATCTTTGCTGGGACATGGTTGCCCGGAAAATTCCCATCCCAAAAGCAAGGGCCCACAATTCTTCTGTGCTGCAATTTGAGACACGCAAAGCTCCCGCTATATAGAGAAGACCAATGAAAGCTCTTACCTCAATAACATTTGTGGTTTTGGTGTAGCTGAGTTCATTAGTCTCATCGTGGTTTCTCACAATTTGTTCATTGGTGCGTATGGTAATTGTTTCAATTATATCTTCACTGATAATCAAATTTCAAACTTAAAGGGGTTTCTACTTTTCTAGCATCACCTTTAGGGCCGGGCAAATGTAAAACAATGTTGTCAGCTCTCAAACGACCTCTCCTCTGAGGAACTACAGATGACCACAGGTGGTTATTTTTACCTCTTAGAACGCTTTTATTTCTAGTCGCTCTCGGAGAGGCCTCTCTTGCTCATTGCTTTGTTCATTCTCATGAGGATTGTTTTGTTCACTGTTATTCTCACCAACTTGTTCACTTTCCTTTTCACTGTGTTCTTCATTTTCATTGTCACTGTTCTGTTTATTTTCATCACCCTGTTCACTTTCACAAGCACTTTGTTCATCGTCTTCCTCATCCTCCTCCGTCTCATAATCGTTTTCGCTATCCGAAAATTCTCCAATATCATATCTATTTTCATGATCTGGACTGTTCCCAAGATTATCTACAATCTCCTGCAGTTTCTTATCTGTTAGGACGATTATCGTCCCTTTTAGCCCTCGACATCTTCCTACAAAATAATAGAAAATAAAATTTCTAATAGAAAATATGTAACTTAATCCTGCACACTGGGGTTTCAGTAACCCAGGAGCAGCTAAAATCAAATTTTACCACTTACCTATAAGCAATAAAATGTTTTGCGTCCTGGCTCACTCGTATACAACTGTTAACTGAATTTACATGCACTGGCCCAAGGTCACAATCGAAACACTGCGCACAAGGTAGAACATAAAGTGCACGTGGGTTTTCTACACCCCAGTGTGCAGTAGCAGGGTTAATGAATAACATTTAGGAGTCTTTGAAAATAAAATACAACGCGTAGCTATATTCACTGAGCATTTGCTTGTGTAAGTCATACATTGTTAATCAACGAACTAGACAAATATGGCATTAGAGTAATTGCAAATAAGATGATTGCTTCTTATTTGCAAAACAGCTAACAAAGTGTATATTACAGAAATAAACTTAGTACGTTTAATAATGAAAAGAGATGTCCCACAAGGATCCATACTAGGCCCTCTATTATTTTTAATGCATACTAATGATCTTCACTCATATATGAAATCAAATAATGACGAATTACTAACTACAATTGCCGCGTTTGCTGTCAAACGTGAGACCTAGGTACTTCACTTCTGTTGCAAAGTTTAATTTTGTGTTTAAGTTGTGTGGTTGTGTAGAGGTTTTAATTCCATTTTCATCCTTTATTGAGAATAATATCGCAAACAACTTTTATTTGAGCAATTTTCTTAAACATTCTAATTTAACACTTTTTTGTCAAAGTTCTCGAATATGAATCATTTTAGGAAAATAATGTTTAGGACATAATGATAGAGAATAACATTACAAGCTACTTTTGAGTGTAAATAACAGATATATTTCATAAAGTAGAAAAACGACTCCCTATAAAAATCTTCCGTCGAAAAAATCGAGGCCAAAAAAAAATCATGATTTGTATACTTTCCTTATCTGTATGCAGGCATGAAAGTAAAAATGGTAGGCCACGCAAAACAAACACCGTTTATTAAAGGTCTTTTTGTTGGATGTTATTTGCACCTTTTATGGTATTAGAATAAATGCCTTTGATCAATGATTACTTTCTTCAAACGAACTGAAACTAGAAAACAATATATGACTTCTTCAGAGAAGTGCTTGGAACAAAGCACACTATACTTTGTAGGCTTTCAAACATCTCTGCTTACAAAATGTTCCCAAATTTTTGAGAAAGCCAGATCTGAAAATACTAAATATGTACAAAAATTATATTTAAAGAAGCTACATAATTTATGGCAAGACGTGTAAAAACATTTTCTTTAGCCATTTATCTATTCCAGTTAACAAAGCAAATGATGTTTCACTGATTTATTCCCTGATTTTTTGAATTAATCAGAATCACAAAATATAAAGTAAGGGAATATATGTTTTATAGATTTGGAAGATTTACCGGTGAAATCTTGTTCCTGAAGATTTCTTATCTAAACCTGTTATACTGGAACAACTGACCATTTTTATTAACTATTATATTAGTCTTTTAGATGTTTTAAAGATAAATTACCACAATGTAATGACACCTACATATACAAATGTAAAAAAATTCATACATGGCGAATAGTGTCACTTATTTCATGTGGTGTGATCTCATCCTTCCTTTTCATCCTGCCTGGAAAATATTTTTATATTGTCGGTACTATTAACCTACATAATGTTGCTATAATAAAGTAGTATTCTTATTTATTTCATAAAAAAGTACCTAATTAAAAAACAAATTTTAGGAAAACCTGGTACTGGAAAGTCGACAGTTTTGAAACAAATAGCGGAACAGTTACAGAACTATCCTAATTTTATTTTTATAAAGCAAGTCAGTTGTAAAACTATAAAAGGAAAAACAATGGATTCATTAGCAAAATTTTTCTCTACTGTATTTTCCGAACTTTTGTTACACAAACCTTCTGTATTAATTCTGGATGATTTACATATTTTATGCGAGAACGTACAAGGGGATGAAGTTGCTCCAAACTATATCTACTTTTCCAGGTTTGCCTAGTTTTTTATTTCACATCACTAAAATGTATTAATAAATTTATATTATTTTTCCAGGGTCAGTGAAATGCTTCACAATTTCTTTCAATCGTTTTCTCACTTGAAGAAAATTGGAATTTTGGCATCTTCAGAGTCAGTACAAAAATTAAATAAGAATATTTATTCTTCACGAGGAAGCCATTTATTTAAGAACATCTACGGAATAAAAGATTTGATGAAAGTAAGAATAACCTTTGTATTAAGTGCTTGTTATCCTAATGAAGCGTTTAAGACATGGGTTAACCTGTGAAAAATTAGAATAAAGCTACAAATTGGTACATTGGCCCAATTCGATAGTCCTGGATCAATTGAAAGGGGAACATGAGGACATCAAATTGAACAAACACCAATTTTTAGCTTTATTCTGATTTTTTTCACAGGTAAATCTACTCTTATTTCCTGGCCTATTATTTTAGAAGAACTAAATATTTTTTTTATTTTTAGGCAGACAGAATATCTGCTTTAAAACATTTATTTAAAGATTTTAAAATAGATGAAGTTGATTTTAATGAACTGTCTATTAAAACAGAAGGATTCGTTATTCAAGATTTAGTTGATTTCGCGGACAAAACTGTTTTTGAAATATATAAAAATGGTAAGTATAGTCCCAATTAATTATTTAATTGGTTATGAAAAAATGATTTTAATTCTATACATGTTTTTGGTTAAGAGCCTGAAGAACACAACTCCCTTTTACTAAGAAACGTTTATCTGGAAAAGGCTTTGAAAAATACCATAGTAATTTCTTTACAAAATGTACAGTTGCATTCTCCAGGAGAGAAAGATTTCTCCAGTATCGGAGGATTGGATAACATAAAGAACGTTTTAGTGGAAAATTTACTTTGGCCAGGAAAAGTAAGTTTCTTAAAAATATAATTCTTAGGAAATTTTTAATATCGTTTAATTTTATTTATATTTTAGTATCCCAATATTTTTGCTGGTGCCCCTCTTAGATTACAATCCGGATTACTGTTGTACGGTCCACCTGGATCTGGAAAAACCGTTCTAGCCGCTGCAGCTGCTAAACAGTGCGGGATGAGGTTAATATCTGTAAAAGGACCGGAATTGCTCTCAAAATATATTGGTGCTAGTGAACAGGCTGTAAGAGATATTTTCCAAAAGTAAGTTGGTATTTGTTGCAAAGGGTGATTCATTAATATTGCGCAAATAATTAATTTCTGGGTTTCTTGGGTCAAAATGCCAAAAAAATTATATAATATCAAAAAACGCTTTTGTAATCATAAAAAAAATGTTTCTTTTATTATTATCTAAAAATCAACACGGATTTGAAGTTCAAATCTCATGTTGGTTCTCTTTAAAATGGGAGAACCCTGTATAATTGGATGTTTTTTTTTCCGATATACATTTCGCCGGCTCTACAGACCGAAACGTTATCGGTGTCTCACTCTGTATGTTATTAAAAAAATAATTATTTTTGTTTCAGAGCTCAGAGTGCAAGACCATGCATTTTATTTTTCGATGAATTTGATAGCTTGGCCCCAAAGTAAGTTTTTGTAAATAGTTTTTACTTTATATTATATGATAACACTGAGTTATAAAATTTTTAACAAAAAATGTCCTCAGCGGTTTTTTTGCTGATCCTTACAGTATTTTATATGCTGAATCCAAAAACGACAACAAATAATTTCCATCACCCATTGTTTTATTGCGACATTTAAATTAAAATTTTACATATATAAGGTATATAACGTACGACCTAAATAAGAAATAAATTAACTAAAAGTAGTTGATGATTTTCTGGAATAATGTGCCTCAGGAACATCTCTTGTTAGAGTCCAACAGTAGTCTGCTAACATATTTGCACTCCACCTTCCTTGATACCTTTTTTCCTTGCTTAAAATACCTCGATGAAAGCGTTCATCGCTGATATCCCCAAGATTTTCCAGAAAGAAATCCAAATGTGAATGGAGGAAATGGATTTTTAAATACATGTTGCAGCCTAGATTTTTATAAGTAGTTAGCAATTGATTGAGAAGACTCATGGTGGTCAGACTTCTTGTTCCCTAAGAAACCTTTTGCCACGTTTTTGAAAGAACCCCAAGCACTTCGATCCAAAGTATTTAACCTTCCATAAAAGTTGTCATCTCGTATAAATTCTCTTATCTGGGGACCTACAAAGATGCCTTCTTTAATTTTAGCGTTACTAATTTTGGGAAATTCTTCTTTTAAATATAGAAATCCTGGTCGGTTTCTGTCCATTGATTTAACAAATTTTTTCATTAAACTCAGTTTAATATGAAGAGGTGGAAGATATATTTTTTTAGGGTCAACCAGATGGGGATTAGCAACGTTTTTTCGCCAGGAATAAGAGTACTGCGTAAATGCCATACCTTTTTCTTGTAGTGGTTCTCACGATCACGGCTGTCCCATAGACAAAGAAAACAGCAAAATTTTGTGTAACCGCCCTGCAACCCAAGTAACATAGCGATAACTTTAAGATCTCCACATATGAATCTTTTAGAATTAATTTCATATTCTTATGTCTATTTCATATTAATAGCATGCGCTAAAAGAACAGAAGGGAATTTGTTGCCGTTATGAAGAAGGACAGCTTTTAAGCTAACTTTGGAGGAATCGAAACATAGACGCCACTCCTCTGATCGGTGCTCATGACCAAGGGCATCCATTACGGCAGGAACATTATTACAGTATACAATAACCCCTTCTTGAGAAAAAAAAATCCTTAAAATTTTCATGACGGTTTCTGAAGTAACATATTTTAGTCTCGTGGTCAAGAAAGTTCCACCCTTTTGGTCGGGATTCCAAAAGTTCAGCCTGTTTTTTAGACAAATTTAAATCATGCACTAAATCATTAAGGTCGCCTTGTGTCAATAGGTGAGGCTTTAAAAACGTCTACCTCAAAACTTGGATCCTGTTGATCTGCATTAATCTCTACATCATCTTTAGAGCTCGTATATTTGTCACTAGATAATGGAGGTTCCGGAATAGAAAGTTGCTCGCTATGAGGAACTGGTTGAATCGCTGAAGGTAAATTTGGGTAGTTTATAGTGTATTTTGATTTAATTCCCACTATGCATAAAAACGTTAAATTAATGAAAACTTTATATCACATTGTTACATTGTAACTCTAATTTTTACTCTTGTTTTCATCTATAGGACGAACTCATAACCGTCTAAGCCCAGAGCAAGGCCGCCGAGAGTCAGGCCGGGCCCCAGGACAATTCTCTAGATCGGGCCCCATGACAAAAAAAGCTCTTCAAACAAAAACCTTTCCTCTTCTACTTGAACTGAATTTTCTAAAAAAACAAAAGTCCTCAAGCAAAAATTTCCCCCTCTCGTCTTGTGTTACAAAACAAAACGAATCCAGTTGCCAGCCCCCCCTATAACCGCTGCTGGGCCCCTATTTGAGTCCGGGCCCCGGGAATTGGTCCCGGCTACCCCCCCTCTAGTCGGCCCTGGCCCAGAGTAGGGACGTTTACTTTTGTGATGAAACAATGTAGACATTCCAGTGATATTATAGCGCTAGCTTGTTACGTTATTCAACGTTACTGGAAGTTCCTAAAAATGATGTCTTTTTATCAATCCAGATGTGACATTCTTTTTATATCCAAGAAAGTCTTTTTACTTCTAGTAGATTATTATAAAGCCCATAAAATAAAATCGTATTAATGAACTGTGACGTTCCAAATATGATACAGTTCATACCTTTTTATTTTTATCTTTTTATCTCTGTCTTTTAAATTTTATATGGACTATCTTATGTAAATATTTTATATATTTCATCTATATAAAACAGAATAGAAATAATGTCTTTTAACTTGAAGTTAAAAGCTTAGAAGACAAGTTAAACTTCTAATTCCAGAAAATTTTACAGAAAAAGTATGATGATAATACAATGGTCTAAATTAATATCAAAGGTAAAAGTAAGAACTTTGATGAATTATTTAATACCGGGCAACAGACTGCTCCATAATACAGTACCTACGGTTACGTAAGTAGTAAGCGATCATTGGTATCTCCATCTATGAATGCGGGACGAACTGTATGTAAAGACTAGAGATAGCAATCTTAAATATGTGTAACATTACTGTGCTGACCTGTATGCGATATTATTGTGAGTTATATAAATTAACATCGTATAAATGTTTGTCACAGGAAGTAACTAAAAAGAAGTACAAATTCGATGTATATTGAAAATATGTTTATGGAACAGAAGTAATAAATGATAATTATTGAACATTTAATAACAAAGAAACAAAAAAAAAAGAAATGGAGTACGAATTTTGTTTTTTTTGCTTTGAAACACTTTTATGCAGCTCTAATTTAAAATATGTGTATTTGACAAAAACATATCAAACTATCATTTATTCGTTTATTATCATTTCGCTAATTGGCAAATTGTTTTACTAGATTTTTTGTAAAAAGTGTTGAAATAGTATATTGTTTACCAAGTAGGAAAAGTCTAACATTCCTGGACGACTGTGAAGATTGCTAAGTCGAGGCGTAAGATATTTATTAATTTTGAAAAAATCGCGAATTGAAGAGTTGGATTTTATGGATTTTTATGGATTTTTATGGATTTTTATGGATTTTTATGGATTTTTATGGATTTTTATGGATTTTTATGGATTTTTATGGATTTTTATGGATTTTTATGGATTTTTATGGATTTTTATGGTGTTTTATGGTTTTTTATGGTTTTTTATGGTTTTTTATAGATTTTTATGGATTTTTATGGATTTTTATGGATTTTATGGATTTTTATAGATTTTTATGGATTTTTAATGACTAATGGAATAATATTAATGATATAAATTTTAAATGATTAATTTTTTTTAGACGTGGTCATGATAATACTGGTGTAACAGATCGAGTAGTCAACCAACTCTTAACTCAACTTGATGGCGTCGAGTCTCTCACAGGTGTATGCGTCTTGGCGGCTACGTCACGACCAGATCTATTAGACTCTGCTTTACTTAGACCTGGAAGATTGGACAAACAACTGTTGTGTCCTTTACCCAATGAAGTAAATTTTAAAAATTTTAATTTAAAAAACAGGATGTTAAATTGCTAATTGTTTTAGGGCGAAAGACTTGAAATTTTGAAGATTCTTTCCAGCAACTTAAATTTAGAGAACGATGTTGTACTTGAAAAAATTGCAGCTGAAACGGAACATTATTCAGGGGCTGATTTGCAATCACTTTTATACACGGCTCATATGTTGACTATAGACTATTCTTTTGAAAATGAACAGGTATGTATTATATAAGAACACATTCTATAATCAAAATAATTTCCAATAAATATTTTTATGAATAATATTGCTTATAAGATGGTTTTGAAATTGTAAGCTAGTGTTAAGATAAAATTTAGTTTCCTGATCTTTGATTAAATTGACAGCGTTTTATATTTTCTGATCTTCTCCGTCTTGATTTTAATGATGTTACATGACAGCTATATCGATGATCAATCCAGTTTTCTTGTTCTATTATTTGTATTAAAATAAATACTAAATGTATTACAGTTATAACAAATAAATTCCAAAATGTACACTAAATTAAAATATACCTAATAATTATGGGGGGGTAAAAGGGACCATACCTACAAATCGCCATTGACAGAATGAAGAAACGGTACGATACCCAGAAGGATATTCCAAGGAAGGCGACAAAGTCTGGCTCCAAAAAGACAGAGGTTATTCTCCAAAGCTATATAAGCAAGATTCCGAACGGTAAACCAAAGGTATTGCACCAGAACATGCTGGCGCCATTTGAAGGTGACCAGGACGAGGAAGAAACACATGAGTTGTCTTTGAAGAATTTATGGGTGCATATGAAGATACCGGAAAAAGAAGACATATTGTTACAACTGAGCTCACAGTTTCTGGTCCATAGCACTTACGCCAGCATCAGCTCGAGGTCTGGCATATGTGTTCCGGAAGAAGTTTGGCCGAGTGTCAGAACTTCAAGGCCAGCTACCAGCCTCCGGGAAAGCCTTAAAACTTCAAGATGGGTCGCGGTACCTTTTTTATTTGGTAACAGATCGATCCATACGGAAACAAAGAGAAGACTATTGGGAACAGTAGTCCATTCAATCCTAATGTATGCATTAAAGATTTGGAAAAATGCTTTGCATTGAAAAGTGAAACGAAAAAAAGCTAGCATAATTCCAAAGAACGATGGCGATTAGAGTCGGGCAGAGGATATATAACAATATCTATGGAAAGCAGCCTCGTATCTCCGGAAATATACCCATAGACTTGCTGATTAAAGAAAGATGTGAAGTTCAAGGTAAGACCATAGCTGAAAAGAAAGAAGCTAGAATTAAAATTTTAGAAACGTGGCAGAGAAAATGGGAAACATGTGAAAAAGGAAGATGGACGTACACGTCACATTTCATATTACTCAGTGTCTTAACTGGTCACGGCAGGTTTATGGAATACCTGAATAGATTAGGTGTGACTGAGCAACAAGATTACGTGTATTGTCCAAATGTGGATATAATAGAACAGCGTTACTCAAAGTGTGGTCCGCGGAGCCCTGGGGCGCCGCAAAGCCTTTGTGAGGGCTCCGCGAAGAAAATAATAGTCATAATAGAAAAAGCAGTACTATCGCTACAAAAGGGAGGGACTTGGCTTGAGGGCCTTTTTTTTTGACTTTTTTTTTACTTTTTTGTACTTTTTTCACCTTTTTTGACTTTTCTTGACATTTTTTTCATTTTTTGACCTTTTCTGACCTTCTTTTTGACCATCTTTTTGACCTCCTTTTTGACCTTCTTTTTGACCTTCTCTTTTACCCTCTTTTTGACCCTCTTTTTGACCCTCTTTTTGACCTTCTTTTTGACCTTCTTTTTGACCTTTTTTTTTAAATCACCAAGAGGAAGGATATGAATTTTATTTTTTTGTTGGGGCTCCGCGAAGAAACAGGAGGGACCTGGTTCGAGGCCTGTTTTTTTTTTTAGAGTCACTGAGAGGAATAACGATATGGACCTTTTTTTAGAAATTTGTTTAGGGCTCCGTCAAATATTTCGCTTTTCAGAAAGGTTCCGCCACCAAAAAGTTTGAGAGCAACTGCAATAGAGCATACCCTGTTTTAATGCGGAGAATGGAGAGAGATCAGGTTAGAGCTAGAAGAAGGTATTGGAATTAGGCTCTCTAAAAAAACATTTTAGACGTCATGACCAGTAACATAGAGGAGAGAGATTTTAGAAGAATGAATATATGAGCATACCCTAACAACTTGTTGAGAAGTACCTGCGACCATCCTTACATCAGGTCTCTTCGAAGTTATGCCGACTGGTGATTCCGAGACGTTCCTGTGAAAAAGAGTGGAAGTTTTTTAGTCGGTAGAAATCTGGCACTATTAAACCTCTCAGACGTCTAATGTATTTTGAAGATTTTTTACCACTAAAAAAAAACAGATCGATCCATTTATCATGGTGTATGGGAAGAATTACTTAGTTTGAAGAAGCACGTACAGATACAAGTCATGCCATAATTGAGTGCAACCAACTAAATTGGAGTATCATTAGAAACATGGTGGAAGATATCTTTCAGGATACCAGAGTCCAAATATTGGTTTGCAGCCATTCTTCCAGTGTCCAGAATCACATTTGTCAGGAATATGAGACTAATACAATTTTCTAGCATCTAAAATCTTAACATCCGGTTTGGATGTTAAGAGGGTTTCTCTTGATCTAATTGCATTCGTTCTATTTCTTAATTTACTTTTCACCACATCTATGAGCATGATATAACATGGAGGATGAGGATGGTTCATATAAAAAGATGTCAGATCTGTCTTACGCTAAGGGATTGCTTTTTTAATTTGAATTCCTAATATTATTGTGTATTTTATCTGATTATGAAAAATAATTGGTTGGTTTGGATAAAATAATGGGACGGTATTACTGCGAACTTTATTTTTTTACTTCGGGCTTTATTATCCCGTTTTTCCAAAAGGTTGAAATTAATTTTCTTTAAATTAATAATAAACAATCCCTTAATAGCACAGTTGAGTGGTTGTGGCAACTGGTTAAAGGCTCTAATAATCCTTAAGAGAGTAGGAACGCCGAGGCTTTATAATTGCTCAGGGTATTGTCATAACTGATTTTGGAAAGGAAGGAGAAAATAATAAGTGGGTAGGTAATCGAAAAAAAAAAAAAATAATAATAATAAATTGTAACAAGTGTATATTTAAAAGAATTAGAAAACCAATAATCTCAAGATAAATAAACAATTTTTATTTAGGGGACAAGCAAACATAAAATACTACGGTTTAATACATTATTTGATATGTCAAATTTTTTTTTATATAGACTTAAATGATAATTGAATCGGTCAGTTCGAAAACCGTACATGTCCAAAATTAGCCTTCCGAGAAAAATAAAAACTTTAATGTTGAAACTACTTGACATAGACTATTTTCATGCGTAGAAAAGTTTTAGATCTCGTGGTTTGCAATGTATTGTTAATAGTAGTTTTTCAGAAAATAAAATGGACTACCAATGACAGATACAAATGGAGTATGGACTTGTACGGTTTTTGAACTCAACCCTGTACATAAAACAAGTGAATTTTTTTTAATTTATTTAACATTTATTCAAAAAGAAGGAAAAATACAATATCAAAACTGTTATCTCATTCATCTAATCATCATTTTCAGCATTTGAGGTTTTCCAAATGACTATGGGTGAGATTACAGAAGCTCTGCAAATCGTACTTGCATTTGAAACTATCAGTTGCAATCGCAAAAGAGAAACATGGTTTTACAGAAACGTGTTTTCAGTTTTTGCGTCTGCAAATCATCTGTAACTTTGCAGGAGGTTGGAACATCCTGTAAACTTGCGAAATGTCACTTTTTTTTAATAAACAATAAGTTTTCTGTAGCTATTGATTGCACATAGTTCGTGGTGTCAGGTTAACAAAGTTTTTAAAAACAGTAATGGATTTGGGTTTATTGTTGTTAGGGGGTAATAAATTACGATAAATATGGCAGATTTACAGATGCTTTTTGGAATACGAAAAATTGATACTTGCATCTGTAAGTCCGTCATATTTGCAGATCTGTTGCTTTTTCTGTAATATCGCCCTATAGCTATTGACCATTATTTTGTTGTTGAGATGAAAAACGTTTATATTTACATTCTAAATAATGTTGTTACACAATAATTGATTTAAAATTCTCCCATTTTAATTACCTACCTGCTTATTATCAAAGTGCATACAACATACAAAGTCAATCGAACGTTACCGGTTCAGTTATTTTATATAATAATTTTATATAAACCTCGTTCACGGAACAAAATTTAATTAACGAGTTGGAGCAAAAGGTAAAAAGCCGCCATTTTACCTTTAAAATAAATTATTATGTTTCGAGTTACAGTAAATGGCGGAGAAAAGGTGTTTAATTAACTCGATTAATTAATTAATAATGCTTGTGACTCCTTGACAAAACCCAAATAGGGTCTAGCGAGAAAAGAGGGTTACATTTAAAATATGGGGGTACGTATATGCATAATATAACATAGAAAAGCATAATTAAAGGTCTTTTGAAAACGAGAAACGCGATTGGAACGAAATTTAAATGAGACTGAGGAACCATTGTGCGAAGTTAATTGTTTCGGTTAACTTCTGTGTATCGCAAGAGGGCTTTGTGATACGGAATAAGAGCAGTTAAAATAAACAACAACGTACGACTCGCTAGTTTCTTATTTTTAAATCGTTTGATCGGTTTCCCTGCTAATAAAACAAACTTAAAAAAATAATTATTTTATAGCATACCAAATTAAAAACATGCAAAATTGTAACCCCAATATGCATACGACTTGTCACAAAGGGGAAACTAAGAATTTTGGAGAGAAAGTTAATATACGACCAGTCAAAATAGATGAAAATGAATAATCATTAATAGGGAATCACCCTGTAGATGGAATTCCAATCAATATGAAAAATCTCAAAACGGGGCGGAGTTCAAACCTACAAAATGAATTGAAATTGAATTGGGTGAAAAAAAAATTTGATAAAAGTTATGTGAATTTGAAAAATATATAAAATATTTTTGGATATACAGTATGTTACGCTTTTGTTTGGAAAGTAAAAATATATATTTGTTCAATGGAACACTGTGTTTTATCTCAGTCTTAGAATTCTTAGGGAATACTGTATTAAACCCTAGAATATTTTTAAAAAGTATTACATAGTTTCCAATCAATAAATTTTTTGTGATATAAAATGATACAGACCCCAAATAAAAT